AGAGCGAGGAGAGTGAGAGAGGAGAGAGAGAGGGGCATGACACAAGAATAGAAAGAGAGCGACAGAGAGGAGAGAGAGAGGGGGTCGAGAGAAAAAGGAGAGAGAGAGAGGTCGGAGAGAAACAAGAAGAGAGCAGAAGACGAGAGACAGGACAGAGAGAAGAGAGAGATGAGAGAGAAGAGCGATGCGAGACTTCGTCTCTGCACTGTCAGTTTACAGGATCGCACAAATTTATTTACAAAAACGTGACAACAAAATGTACACAACGCTTCACCACCATTGGCCAGAAGCTGCCGAAAGCTTCTTGTCATTGTCTACGGTGTGCTCTTGAATTCCCAGCATTCCGAGGCCGAGGTTGTATAGCCCGTGAAGTGGATTGCGTAACATCTGCTCTGTATTGTCTCTTACATGAATGAAACAATCGGCGTCTTACATTACACAGTAAAGCTTCTGCTGCAATAAATACATGTCAGTGCAAACATATAAGGCAAAATATGAAGTCTAAGTATGCATGTCCTTTGAACTGAATAAAGTTTACACATTTACAGAAACATTAGACACTTCAATCCCTCATCCAGTTATAAAATTATAATGACAATTGGAAAAATTAAGTTCTGCCAAGTAGCTGACAAATATGTGCCCAGAGTGCCAGCGCCTTACTTTATTCCAAACCCTGCGAAATGAAAGCAGCCATGCAGAGCCAGTAGCTGTACTGTGATTAAACCTGGCTCCCACCCGGTTTGGATTCAGTCTCTTCTTCTTAACCCTTGTCACTGTGCGATTTAAATTCATAGCTTGTTATCATTGTTATATTTTATCAATAATTTTCGTTTTACTATGCTATTTTCGCTGCGACTATTTTCAGCAAAACATGAAAAACAAAATTCACATTGATATCTCCAAACCATTATAATCTATGTTGTTAACATGCAAAATTAATTTTCCGTACAATAAATGAATCTATAAACCCACACTTCCGAGTAGGCCTACCTTACTCTATATTACCTTTACCATACAACAATTACTTTAGAGAAAATCTGCTAAAAATGGTATAATGGCTAAATGTGCCAACTAGAACCAGACTGGAGTGTAATGTCTATTGAATTTGCATGAAATTCCTATACTAAAGTTTATGCAGTTACATGAAAATAGAACAATGAAAAGCTATAATCGCCCGCAAAGAGAATGCTGCTCAAGAAGTCAGCTAGACTGGGACCCGCCTGTTCTGCTGCTGCCCACAGTTTCCGAACCATCTTCAACAACTTCTCCGAACAACGCAATTATAATTAGTTAATTATAATAAAATTAATAATGACAATACCTTACATAACTTTAATGGCCGTGAATCGCATCTATTCAGTTCTGATAATTTACACGCAGAGCAAATATGTTCAATTCCTCTACATTCGAATTACATTCACTTGACTACTATATACAATTATCTACGAAATTATAGCTGCTTCGAAAATTCAAAAAAGTCAAAGTAACTAATGCATCACTATCAGTAATTGATTTCAGAATGAACTTGTTTAATGAGTAATTGATTTATTTGTTTATTCATTCATTTATCTATTCATTTAAAGACGTTACATTGGTAAAAGATAAAT